AGCCCATGCCTTGCTCTCTACGGCTCTCTGGGGTTACCTCTCAGCCTCTAGTCATTCTCGTCCCTCAGTCCCAACCACAGGTAGAAGGTTCCCACTGCAGGATGGCCTCTCCTCAGAGGTTTAAATCTTGGAAGTCTCAAGAGCAGAGGCAGCATCCAACTTATTACTTTTCGTTTCTTCATCATCCTTCTTTTGAGGTCTAAAGGATACTTACGAATCACTCCTCCTACTGACAGGAAAACCACCAACTCGGGTGATACTATAAGGTCATCCTTCAGAGATGTAGAACATACTTTTTCCTCCCTGAGGCCCTAAATATTGAAACCCTCACATCCTCAGGGCATGGCCTGTCCAAGTTTACAGTAACTACTAGCATTGCCAGCCAATCCGGGGACTAGTTATGGGGCAGAAGTGCAGCTGCCACACATGCACAGTAGGTCTGGACACCAGGGCCCAGGGAATCCCTATGTTTGTCTGACTGAGAGAGTGAGCTCCTCTTACAGCCTGTGCTTCTCCACCACCCGCCCTGCTGACGATGAATGACTACACCTGGAAGAAATAAATACCTGATTTCATATGTCAGTTCCTATTCCATCCTAAGTGGATTGAAAGAGTACCTCGAAGCCAGATGCTCGCACATTCAAGAGACCTGGTCAGAAGGTTAACAGAGATCTCACAGCCCTGGGGAAATGTGTGAAGGGCCATCTCCACATTGGCCACTCCAGAAAACTCCTCTCTGCATCTGAAACAACCCCGTGGAACATCCCAGTCCTCACATGGGTGCTTGATGCAGACCCCCTGGCTGATTTTTTGTGGCTCTGTGCATCACTACCTAGCACAGCACTGCCCTCTGGTTCCTTGGGGAAATACTCACTTTAGAAATGAGGTGGCGAATGAACTTTCCAAAGATCAAGTTCTAGAATATGAAGATGATGAAGCAGGAACTTGACTTCCCACAATCTGTACTCTCAAACCTCTCAGAAAAATGAAACTGGCAGAACGTTACCTGTCTCTAACACTCAGCTTTCCTAATAAAGGGAGTCCCTCCCCCAACAGTCACTTCTGAGATTGTGGCCCCAAGACCAATCACTGAACCTCAAACGACAGCCCTCATCCCCACTCTCCCCCCAAAAAGCTGGTGGACTCTACGCTGTCTGGGAGAAGGATGGAGGGAATAGGAGGGGTACCAAGCAACCAGGGGCAGAGGAAAAGGTTTAGATTTGGGGACCCTCCAGGGTGGGAAGCTGGACTTGTTGCCCCTCCAGAATGGAAAAGGTCAGGGTGAAAGGGTTACTCGAGGGGCACATTTTTTCCATTGATTATTTTACTTAAAGATATGTCATGTCCCTGGAAAATCAAGGACAGAGGGGTGGCTGGGTATTTTCTTTTGAATATCCCCAAACATTTGCAAATGGTTACTCTGAACTCCCCAATGTACCATAAACAAGTGTTAATGGTAGAAATTCAGAAAATGCACAAATACAAACAGCTATCCCCCAAGCTTCAAGGCAAAGACAAAAAAGGGAGTATTTCATTTGTAAATGGAATTCTTTGCGGACAGAATAGTTTGGAAACTGTTTATACATTTTTCCCTTATTATTGGGGGGAAGGCACATTATTTTCCATCTTACAGAAGCTGCAGAACCAGTATTTGGCATCTTCTAGTTGAAGATGAAAGGAAGTTTACAAATCTTTAAAATCTTCAACTAAACTTAATTAGTTCTGCATCTAGGAAAATATCTGCCCACTGAAATCAGATCAACAAACAAGAACGCATAAAGTCAGGTAACCGGGCACAGTGGCACTTCACAATGGTAAAGGAAACCAAAATCATTCTGTAATTTTTCAAGAAAGGGCAAATATGATGACTTGTAGGAAGATAACATTAGCCACCTGGATCCTTGATTCATTTGAAGATACAATCTGCTGTGCACCTATTAAAACTGTTTTTGAATATGAACGTGGGAACAAGAAGGATGGGCACCATGAACAGAAGGAAGAGCGCTGAGGTCACTGCTTGAGTCCCCTGTAAGAAAGGATACATGCCACTGAGGAGCACGTGCAACACCACTTGCTTTCCCCTCACACACCCCCAACACAGCCCCAATTCATTTTTGGTTTTTAGTGCTTTTATCTCTGGCTTTACCTTGTTACCAGTCTTCACCGTCAGGGCAGTGCAAGTCACGCGACCTTAACTGATTGTCGGCGTTTACCACTTCCGCAACCTAACAAATAGGCTGGAATTCTGAAGACATGAAAGAAAAGCTGCACCACATGTACAGAGCACAGGAATGAATGTGGCAGGTTTGGCCCTTGTTGCATGGTGACAAGGCGCTCACTACGGAAGGTGGGCGAGAGGGAAGAGGACTGAGTGGGGGAGAGGCGGGTTTGCTCCGACTTAAATCACTTGCCTTGTCAGCCTGTGGTAGCTTACCAAGCAAGCATGGCTCTGACATTAGAAGAAGGCTGTAATTTCTCTGGGAGACCCGTCACAAAAGAACTTTCCAATCTCAGGGGGCAGCGGGCAATTTCATCTCTGCATCTTCTGAATGCTGTAGCCAGGTTAATATCTTTAGTAATGACTCATGTCTGCATTTAAGACCCTGTCTGATCTTTAAAAAAATTCTGAACAGGGATGATCCAAATAGCCATCATATAGCTTGTGCTTTTATGTTCTTGACTCCATACTACTTATGGACTAGTGACACTGTTCTTGACCTGGTCACTTCTTATCCAGCAATGGCAGCAAGATCTTTTTCCCTTCCATATTTTCCTTAATGTCATTTGAATAGTGATACCAGAATGTGTTTCAAATTACCACTCCCAATGCTTTCCTGGGGCCATCACTTCTTTTTTTTTTTCTCACATTCTTCCCACTACTGCTTGCTTCATCAACCAGAATAAATTACTCTGGGAGCGAAATCAGGGGCGACTATGAGAAGGTTAAAGTCATCTGCCTCGAGATAGCAGAACTTTGTAGATGTAAAATCTAGTAGGGCTGGTGGGCTGGGTTTTAGTATTCTGCTCATCTTGGCAAAGCCATTCATGGAAAGGGAAATGTCAAACTCTGGTGATTGTGAAAGCAGCTCTCTCCCTACCCCCATATCCACACCTCCCCTCCCCAATCTTGACAACATCAGGCTACAAGTTAGGTAGGCAAATGAGAGCTATGCCAAATTAGAGACCTAACATACATCTAGGTATGCCACATCAAAGGTTCTCATCCACACTAGAATGGCATTTTCATTTCACCATGGCATAATGGTTTAGTGTTATAGGTTTGGTGAGGGTGGTGCTGGAAAACCAAGATGTTTGGTGTTTGTCTAGAACATTCCCTCAAGACTGAGGTGAATAAAAGGATGTGCTCCAGCAGAGCAATAAAGAGACTGATGAGCCTATTCACTTAGAGGCATTTAAAAAAAACTGTAAGGCTGGAGCAATAGGACAGTGGCTAGAGCCCTTGCCTTGCATGTTGTTGACCCAAGTTTGATCCCTGGCACCAGTACTGTCCCCTGAGCCCTGCCGGGAGTGATCCTTGAGCCCAGAAGAAAACCCTGAGTATTGCTGGGTGTGGTCCAGAAAAGGAAACAAGAAAACGTAGCTTCAGTGTCAAATAACTGGGATTTGAATTTCCACTCTGCTTCCCAAGTTACTTCATTTCTAAATGATTTAATGCTGTATGCTATTTTTTACATTCTTATTTTCATGTCTGTTACCTCATCAGTAGAACAAAGACAATCACACTGTACAAACCTAGAGCTCAGTAAGTATCAGTGACAAAGCCCCAGGTCTCCTTTCTCCCTGTTCTTCACCCTCAGACTACTGTGTCTTGAGGGGCATACAGAGGCTCATCTCTACCTCTGTATCTCCACAGCTCCGGAGCAAAAACTATGCACAAGTTAGGAGAATCAATATCTTCTCTTCTCCAAGAGACAGCTAATGACCTTGGCCAGATGTTAACCTGTCTGCTATCCTAACTTTGTGGGCAGAGAACCAGCGCCAGGCATGCCCCCCCCCCCCGCCCCCCGGCCTGAGATGAATGCTGGTTTTCCAACTCACTGCTCTTCCTTGGGTGCTCTCCCATGCTCATCTTCCTCGCTGGTAGGAAGCAGATTGGTGAGAGCATCAAGGGGACACCTCTGGCTAGTGTGGAGCCATGCGACCAGTTCCCTTCTGAGCTCTTACCAATCAACGGTTCCTGGTTACTGAAAGCAGACTTCCCCCACCAGCTCAAAGATGGGACCTGTCATCCACTTCAACCATGAGGCTCTTTTTTTTTTTTTTTCCTGGCAAGGCTTTGTACTTTGCGGAGGTGGGAAACCCAGTTGAGATCAGAAAGTACAGTCAGTCAGTGATGCTCGGGGCCTGCCCTGGGGAGTGCAAGCTAGGGACACCATGAAGGCAGTAGCCCTGTCCTTCTGCTCCAGACACCCTGCCAGGCCCACAGCAGCATAAGCAACGCCAGGTGGTTCGCTTTTTATTTTTATCCAGCACAGGAACATCCATGGAGACAGAACAGCTGGTTGAGCTGGGCCATTCTCACCCTGAATCTACCAGCTCATCCTCTTAACCAGAGTCTGAGAGCCTCATGGGAGACCATGCCCGGGGCCAAGCCACCTCTCCTTCCTCACCGCCCCCATGTTCCCACCAGGTGAATCTCAGAGGTGTGCTTAAGAACCAAATGCTCGTGTCAGGTGATTGTGTCAGGTCGGGTTGGAGACTGGGTTTCTCCTGGAGTAGGCCTGGGGCATGGCCTTTACTCGGTTTCCTCGGCTGCAGAAAAAGAAAAAGTGGGGAATGGGGCTGGATCAGACGTGTGAGCGCACGAGGGGATCCTGGAAGCTGGAAGGGAAGGCGGGTTACCAGCATTGCGCCCCATCACCCCCACCAGCTGCCTGCCGGAGAGTGGCTCCCGCCGGGCTGGCGATGCCGAGGGGCGCTCCGAGGAGGCCATACAAACCTTTTTTTTCCTTCCTTCTTTCTTTCTTTCTCTCTCTCTGTTTCTTACTTATTCTGGTTTCTAATCCGGAGGCACCTCCTTTTGAGCGGAGGCTCCAGGTCCTCGGGGCCGGCGCTGAGGATGGGCGAGGGGATGATGCAGGGCGCCATGGCCGTCTTCTCGGCGGGCTTTGGCACAGGCTGGATCACGCAGCCCGTCTTGGGCAGCATGCGCAGAGCGTACGCGTGGTCCTCGTCCGCGGGGTTGTTCAGGTTCGGGTCCGACTTGTCGCCGCCCGCCAGGGCCTCCTCCCCCATCAGCTTCTTGGCCGCCTCCCCGTCCAGGTGGCAGTTGGAGGCACAGTTGTTCTCCTTGACCGACTCCAGCTCGCTCACCGCCGGCTCGTCGGGCGACAGCAGCTTCTTGGGGGGCGCGGGGGCCGGCGGCGGCGGCGGCGGCGGCGCGGGGGGCTGCTCGGGGGGCGGCTCGGCGCCCTTGGCGCCCTCGGCGGCGCCCCGCATGCCGTTCACGATGACGTTGCAGGCGGCGGCGGCCTCGGGGCCGGCGGGCGCGCCGGGGCCCGGGTCGCCGGCCGCAGGGGGGCTGCAGTGGCCGTCCCGGCAGCCGCCGCCGCAGGTCCTGCGCTCCGCGGCGCCCGGCTCCCGCTCGGCCTTGACGTGCGCGTGCAGCGCGCGGTGGATCACGTTGTGCAGCCGCGCGCGGTGGCCCAGCGTCAGGTCGATGACCCCGTCCTGCGGGCCCTGCAGCACGCCGGGGAAGCCGGGCGCGCCTCCGGAGCTCGGGGGGCTGCTGCCCGCGCGCCGCGTCAGGTCCACCACCTCGCCGCCGCCGCCGCCGCCGCCGCCGCGCCCGAGTTCTGCAGGCGCCGCCGCCAGGCTCAGGGCCTGGCCCGAGCAGCCCGGCGGCGAGTCCGAGGACTTGGACGAGCCCTGCTTGGAGTCCCGCGCGGACACCGAGTGTCCGCCCGCTTTGCCCCCCGCCGCCGCCCCCGAGGGGTCGCCGGGGGCGCTCGGAATGAAGTTCTCCCCGTTGCTGGAGAAGCCGTTCGGGGGCTTGGAGTCATTGACGTGGGGGATGGGGATGGGGATGGGGATGGGCACGGGCAGGGGCACGATCACCGGGTATGGCACGAGCAAGGTGGGCGGCGGCACCAGCGGGGCGAGCGACGGCAGCCCGAAATTCATCATCTGGGGGACGGGCATCGGGCCGTTGGGCATCATGCTCACGGGCGGGAAGGGGAGACTGGGCAGCGGGGCGCCCGGGGGTGGCGGGGGCAGCAGGCCCGGGGGGTTCCCAGGAAGGGTCGGGGTGCTGGGAGGGTGGATGTGGGGCGACAGCATGGGTCGGTGCATGGGGCTGGAAGTGGGACCCAGGTTCCGGGGGCCGCCCGGCGGGGGCCCGATGCCAGGGAGCATGGGGTTGGACAGGGGGCTGTTGGGGTTGGAGGCATGGTGCGGCGGCCCCCGGATGAAGGGTGGGCGGATCTGCTGCATGATCTGCTGTTCCATGAAGATGGGCAGCGGCACAGGGCCGCGGTTGGTCATCACCATGGGCGGACTGCGTGGCGGGACGCCCAGCGGGGGCCCGATGCTGGCAGGAGGCTGGACGGACACCGGAGGGATGTTTGGAGTCTCGCCGATGGACATGGACTTGGGCACTGGCGTGGGGATTTTAGTGACAGAGCAGTTGGCAGTGTCAGATGGAGAGACAGTGGTGGACGCGGATGGGCCAGGGCCCTGGCTTTGGCCAGCTGCAGCCACCGGGGAGGGGGCCTTTCTCCGAGCATCTGCTAGGGGTATATTCCAAGAGTCTGGAGTGAGCAGCTGCACCCCGGTGCCTTCTGCTTTATTTTCCAGGGGAGGGTGTAATGTGCTACACAGCCCAGCTGGAAGATTGGCCTGTGTCTCTTTGTAGAAAATGTCCATTTTGTATTGATTGAGACATTTTGCACTGCAGAACTGAAGCCTTCTTTCCCCGTCCCCAAAATCCAGGTATTCTTTTGTGTGTCTTATGTGCTTACACCAGTCACATACCTACAACACAGGAATGGAAACAAAAAAGAAGACAAAGAAAGATCAGCAATTTTCTTTTGTAGATGAAGCGTTATGTTTCACATAAAGGTTCTTTCAACTTTTAATCAGTTTTGCACAAGTGTGTTTGGGTTTTATTTTATTTTATCTTTTTAATCTCAAGTGATTCCTTTTAGGAGGATTCTGAAGTCAAAAGATTTGTAAAATTCTGGACTATTTGTAAAAAGATTTCTCTTGGAGGACTCGAGATAAGGGATAGGGGTTAAGGCACTTGCCTTGCATGTGGCTGGCCAGGGCAGCACACAGTCCCCAACACTGCCAGGAGAGAACCCCCCTGAGCACAGAGCCAGAATAGAGTCTGAGCACCTGTGCGCATGCCCCCACCCCCAAATAAACAAAAACATGCTCTTTCGAGGCTAGAATTGCTTTGCAAATATTGATTCTTGGAATGGCAATGACCACTATCTCCACTGAAAACACAAAATATTAACTATTGGAATAGCAATGACCACATCCCTAGGGAACTTTGTTGTCTGTGTTGTTCCCTCTGAAAATGACTGAAGGTAGATAGAAGTCTACATCCCCATGTGCACATTTTCACTGGTCAATGATGATCATGATAAACCCAGCTCTAAACTGTTTTTGGAGAGAAGGGTTCCCTAGGAAGTTCACTGGGCTTCAAAATAGAGCCCCTTGAAATTCTCCTGCAAAGTCACTTGAGACCATTCCCTGTATTCGATAATGTAGTTGGAAAAGGGTGTGCTGGGTTAACCAATAGCACAAAGCGCTGAACATCACTGTGTCTTGCTTCCAAGGGGAAACTTGGAATCAGTCATGAAGTCTGTGTGAGGCTTAGTTATTCCCAACCTGTGATGTTGCAGCAAGCTAGAATTATTTTTTGAGCTGTTTGCCCACTCTCTCTCAGTAGTCAGAATTTTTGGTGACATTTCTTGGCAGGCAGTCTTATTTAACAACTTTTCAAACACCAGAGAACGTTTTCCAAAAGTTGTTATGGCTTTCCCCCCTTCAAATCTACTCCTGGCAAAAGAAAGACATCACCAAATTTATTTTAGAGTTGGGCTGCAGAACTAATTAAAGGCTGAGAGCTTTTCCCAATTGAAAATCACTAGACATCAAAGTTCAAAAAATAGTCACTCTCGGCTTTAGAACCCATTACTTTGGAGAAATTATTGTGATTTCATTAACACATTAATTTTGCAACACCATCAGCTCTCACAGATGGTGAAGACATGATCTACAATTCAAATATGACTCTTGTTTGCACAAATGTCTTTCCTTCATATGGCATTTTAAACAAGAATTAATACGAATAATCTTGCCATAGCTATAAACAGATAAACAGATGTCAAAATTTTCAATAGTTCTTTCAGTGCCGTACTTTTCTGAGTGAACACTACACATACATTTTTTTTATTCTTTTTTTTCTTTTTGGTCACTTTCTCAGTATTTAAGACATATGGCAACAGAGACAGAATTCTCAAATACAGTGCAATGGTGACTTTATCCAACTGAGTCTTTCCTCAATAAGACACTGGTTCCAATATTGCATTAAATGGATCCCTGTTTTTGTTCATCATGGTTGGTGTCTGCTGTTCTGCTGTTGGTGCGTGATGTTGATTCTTAACTATGGTAAACTGATAGCATTAAAAGATGATACATTTTAATAATGATTGGTCATATAAACAATGCAAAAACAACATATGCTGGGCATTTGATTACTCATCTCATTTAACTCTCAGCTTTCCTTGCTTGTAAACAGTGGTTGCATGCTGGGATATGACAGTGGGTGTGCATGCTCATGACTCATATGGGGCCATTCTACTCCTGTTCTCTCTTTTTTGCTGATATTTGCAGGTAATACACTTGATGGGATGAGATGAAGTAACAAATGCAAACTGGCACACATTCTTTTTTGTTTGGTCTCTTGTCAAAGTGGCCTTTCAAAACACTTGCTGCAAAGCAAACCATTTCCATGTTCACATACTCCTGTGTTTTAGGTTTTATCCAGAACCAAAGTCACTTTGAAAAAAATCAGAGTTGAGGTGTTCAGTTCATAAATAAATGCAGATTTGACCTCTAATGAGAAGAGATATACAGAATCCATCAGACCTTCAAAATTATCAAGATTCTAGAAAAACAGTTAAATGAACTACTAGGGAACACTTGATGCATGTCTGCTATTTATTTTTTGTAGGGCTGGGATTGAACCAAGTGCGCCTCATAAATATCAGGCATGTGCATATCATTGAGCCACACCCACAGAGCTTAAATTGGTACCTTTATGTTTATTTTCTTTGGCAGGGAATGCTCAGAGGATCTGAAGGACCCTTCTCAGTGATTTTCTGCCTGGCTGAACTGTGGCTAAATGCTAGACCCTGAGGATGCATTGCTACTCTGGACCAGTGCTCGGAGTCTGTAGAGATACACTGCAGATACTTGAAGTATCAGGAATGATCTGGAATCTCTAGCATGCAAGGCCTGGGCTTAATCTCCTTTACTATCTCCTGGATCCTTTTTGTCTGTTTTGGGGCCACACCTAGTAGTGTTCAGAGCTTACTCCTAGCTCTGCAAGCAGAAATCACTCCCAGTGGGCTCAGGGGACCATTTGAGGTATTGGAGATTAAACCCTGGTCGGCTGTGCGCAAAGCATTTGCTCTACCCACTATACTATTGCTCCAGTCTCACTGGCTCCTATTTTCAAATAATTCTTTTTATAACATCAACATACAATGGTGTGGTACTCAAATTCCAATATAAAATGAAACTGATTCTGTTTCAATATTAGGCATCTGTAGCCTAAAATGTAAATTTATACACTTGAAAGGAGAGAACAAGCAGCTTCTTTAATCATGAATTTTTTTTTAAAAATAGCATTATCAATGAATTAAACTAATTAAAAGAATATACCCAATATTCTGGCATATTTCTTTTGGATCTTATTTTTTAGCCATAAGGGGGAAGAGTTTTATAAAATCTTTGATTGGTTTTTAAATTGCCAAACTGAATGATTTGCCTCCCGAGGATTCCGCTGTTTCCTCAAGCTAAATAAATATTTTTAAGTGGAGTCCAAAAAAATAATCTAAATATAATTTAAATGTTCCTTCTTTTCATCCTTCACTTTCAATAACTCACTGATGAATAAGGCATGCTCACATACTGGCCTCAATTTATCAAATGAGAATACTCCACCATATTTTAATCTACTTCCACCTAAAAAATAATTATAGACATCCAAGTTCACAGCCAAACTCTACTTCATCAGACTTTTCAATTAAAACAGAGGCCTACTGGTTAGCTACTTGATTTTCTTTGCAACATCCCAAAGCACTTAGGTACCAGAGTGATCGCTTGTGATGATCCTGTTTTAGGTCATGGAAGTATGAATGTGTGGCTCCCTGTCTGACTGTATTTCAACTGAGAACACTGATCTAAACATCTGATACCACAGAAAAGCAATCTTTTGGATGAGGGACAAAATTACTAGAGAAAAAAAAGTCACTTAAGAAATAATGAATCAGGTCTAGCTTATAGGCTACATCATTTCAGATGAGGTCAATGAATTTATGGCCCAAATGATTCTATCATGTGAAGCAGTAAAAAGCAGTGCCATTATGCATTCTACATCAAACTAATGACACACTTCTAGTAATGAAATATTTCATCGTCAGAGCTGGAGCTGATTACTGAAGATGTGGTAGTTAGGTGAAAAATATATGCTGTATGTTTTCTCTTTAATAAAACAACATTAGCATATTCACAAAATACACAGTATGTATCTCATAAACTAGGGTTTTCTGAATTGTGGTGGTATATGGTATTCATCCCATCTTTTTCTGCAGATGGCTTTGATTTTTTGATTTTTTGATTTTTCACTTTTCAAGACCTGTTTATTTTTTTCCTCATTGTGCCAAGAAGCACCGAAATTCCCTCAGATATTCTAAAAGATAAAGATTAAGAAGTGCCGATTTCAACTCTGGGCTCTGGAACGGTTTCCCCCTAATTCTACCCTAGCTTTGTTTCTGTTGGAATCTGGCCTCTTTGGTTCCACTTCTCTCTCTAACAGATCCCAGATTGGACAGAGCAAAGGCTGGAGCTGTTTCACGATGGCAATCTGGGGACAGAACAATCAGCTAATGGGATGCCATTGAGTGAGACAGCTGAAATGCTTCGTATCACAAATACATAATGTATCACCAGGAAGACAAAAAAGATCACAAAGGAGATAAACAAACGTGTGTTCCATTCAACCCTGTAACAGCAGTCCTAGAAAAGATTCAATTTACCTTCCTGGGATGTGTCCAACTCTAAACAACAGAACGAACATTTCCTTTAGTCCATTTAGAGTATTTATATTTTGGTGGCTGGCTGCCAGGGTAGTACTTATAAGCTCAGTAGCCTGATGGATTCACTCCTTTCCTGTGAAATGAATGTGTGGCAACATACACCGCTCAACTGCTCAAAAGACACTGCCTCAGCAGAAATATCACTTGCTCTTGATATAAGAAAACTGAAAAGGCAGGACTTCTGGTTCCTATAACTCTTTCCATCTTGTATTTCCCCTGGAAAGAAAGCAAGCTATTCATGTTGGCAACTGAGCCTTTATTTTTATATAAACGTCCAAAGTCAAATCCAAAGTATACCATGAGGTTACCCACATGGGCAGGATATATACATTTGCTAGGCTTCTGAGAAAAGATGGGGTAAAGGCAGAGAGAGGGGGGCAAGGCTCCTAATTAACACATTAATCAGTTGTTGAGTATGGAGCAAAGTTCATCCTTTAATGGAACCCACTGCTGCCTTCGAAGTGGTGATCTGGCATTAGGCACTATTTAATTAAGAAACCATTTTGCTGAAACCTTCTTATCCAGTCAAAGATATTTGTAGCCACAGAATAGTAAAAAGGATATTAGCAATCCTTTGGACGTCCTAAGCAATTTGTAAAAGCAAAACAAAAACAAAATCTTCACAGGCTCCTTTTCTTT